ACGCACGCACGCACGCACGCACGCACGCATGCACGCACGCACGCACGCACACACACACACACACACACACTTTCAAAATGGTTCTGACACCCATTCTACTTACTAAGTGTTTCATTGTTCTAGTTCATTCAAAAAATTGCACTGGTTAGGCTGACTAGTGACTCTAAAGGCCCTTTTATGTTATCTTGAGTCAGCCCTACCCAAGCTGCCTCAACGCAGGTTCAGAGCCTTTCTGTTTGCTTATCCCACAAACTTTTTTATCTCAGTTTTTAGAACATACAGTACTTAGCTGAAGTTCCAAGCAGACCAAGAGGTTCTGAAGACTTAACATCAGCAGACTGCAGCCTGCTGCAAGTTAAACCCAGGACATTTTCTCTAAAATGTCAGTAATTTAGCTCTACCATAATGTTGGTGGTTATACCTGCAATAAAGGTCTGCAGACCCAGCTGCCAGGAGGACATTGTTGGGATGCCAGTCTAGGCTCAGAACTGTGGAGCGAATGGGCTTCTTGATATGCTTGCTCAGCCACCTGAAAAGTTAAAATTCTGTAACTGAATTTATGGCACAGAAACAAGTCAAATACATTCAGTATATGAAGGTCAACAAGATGACATTAAGACGTTAAATGATACTGCTGTGGACAAATAGCCAGGCTGGGCCTGGGCTTTTGTGGAGTTTACATGCTGTCCTCATGTTTGTGTGGAATTTCTTCAGGTACTCTGGTTTCCTCRCACAATCCAAACACATGTATGTTAGGCTGTMTTCAGGCCCAGGCAGACCTTGAAAAGAGATCTCGGACTTACCTGGCCAAAGAAATAAATACTTTTTACATTTTCAGCCTGGTATTATTTTTGCCTTAAACTATTGAATTCCATAGAAGAACCTGTCCAGAGGACCTACTTAAATTTTTAAAAAGATTTTTCTACCTGGATTATGATGTTATCGCTCACATCTTGTTTGACAAATGGTTGAGTTAGAAAAATAAAACACATGCACATATGCGCCTAAGTACCAAATTTCTTATGTGTACACTAAAGTAGTCATAAGGGCTGCATTCAAGATGGTGCTAGCAAGCCACTTTGAACMTATGACAAATTATTAAAATACCCAGATTAACCTCTGCTCGTATTTACTGCCAGTACTGGAACAGAATCCACAAGAATGAATGCAAAGACAGGGTTATCTTGGAGCCAACTATAAACAGGTCTACAGCATTAAGCCATGTAAGATCACAGTCAAATAACTAAACTTGTTTCAACAGAAAAGCATCCATGCGCRTCACCACCCCTTATGCCAAAAGTTCTTAAGCACACACACACACACACTGTGTTTCAGGTCAGCCCTCGGGACCGTCCCTCAGTTAGCTCAGTCCTGAGACGCCCCTTCTTGGAGAAACACATAAACAAACATCTGAACTCTCAGGTAATCAGAATGATTGGTTCACTGATTAATTCAACAAAATATTAAATATAGTTCATGTTTGTTCTGTTATTTTTTTAAAAGAGATAAAAAAAAGATTATGTTATTGACAACTTTCACACCTAATGTTAAGAAATAACCCCTCAAACACTCAGAATCCAGAGAGATATTGTTTATAAAAAATCTTAAGAATCTACACGTGTGGAGGATGTAGAAGAGAGAAGGACAGAATAGTTTTCTAAATGAGAATCTCTGTGTTTTTATCTGTGGAAAGAAACGAGAAGACAGTTTGTAATGAAGCTCAGACGTAGTCAGTTAAGAAGAATAAACATAATTTAACATGACCTAACATAATCTAACAGACAAGCAGCATACAGTCCCCACACTCCTGGACAGAGTACTTGAAATCCTGCACCTTTGTGACCTCTTTGTCTTGTAGCCTCWGTGTTCCATCTGCCTCCCTCTCATTCACACACATKTACTTGTTRTGGCTGATTTTCATCCCTTTTCTTTCAGATGCAGACCTCTACCTCTCCAGATTCTCTTCCACCTGTTCCCTGTTTTCATCACAGATCACATCATCTGCAAACATCATTACATCATACCCTGTCTGACCTCATCTGTTAGTCTGTCCATCACCAGAACAAACGAGAAGGGGCTCAAAGCCGATCCTTGATGCAGTCCCACCTCCACGTTAAAGCTATCGGTCACTCCTACATCACATCTCACCACTGTCTCCAAGATGTTTACATTCCCCTACTGGTCATAGGTTCAGGTGCCTTCCCTTCCACCCCAAAACTTTCTGAACCTTGTTCTCACCAGTTATTCTCACTTCCTGGTCCACAGTTTGTATGCCATCTACTATTCTTTCCCTTTAATTGTCTTCATTTGTTAGCTCCTTAAAGGACTACCACTCATCATACTCCCACTGGTTTACCTTTGCCTTCGCTACCCTCATAGTCTTATGCTGTATCTCCTTATATTCCCGTCTACTCACTTCAGTCCTCTCTCATCATGCACTTCACTWTTCCACCACCAGRTTTCTTTATCTTTTTTTSTCTGTCCAGATGACAGCAAGTACTTTCCTCCTTGTCTCTCTGGTCACTGTTGCTGCATTAGTCCAGTCATCTGAAAGCTCTTTCTTACCACATAGAGCCTTTAAATGCTCCTCTCCGAACTCTTCACAACATTCTTCAAGTTCCACCATTTGGTCTTCTGTGGTTTTCCTCTTTTTAACAACAACAGTCATTTTACAAACCATTAACTCATGCTGTGATTTTTGGATTGAAGACMGTAGCTCCAAAAAAGACAAGATAAAAAGCTGGAGGTGGCAGTTCCACATTTACTTAGGAGGAACCAAAATGGACAGCATTACAAATGAGTCAGTCAGAGGAACAGCTCAGGTTTGAAGACAAAATTAGAGATGATGGTTTGAACAAAAGGAAGGAGAGTGGACATACTGGRAAAAGGGCATTGAATAGGGAGCTACAAAGAAGAAGAAGAGAAAGCCCACAGAGGTTAGTGGATGTAATGGAGGAGTGTCTGTAGAGGGTTGATGTGACAAAGATGGATGCTGATATAGTGGGTATATACTGTAGAAGTACATTGTCTGCTCTGGAAACCCTTAAAGAGAGCAGACTAAAAAAAACRTCAGTACTTCCAGTTTGATGCAAATTTTTCTCACCAGTCATTCTCTTTCTCAAAGTAGCAGACAGAGATAAGTCGAGCTCCGCTGCCCAGAGCAAACTTGTTCTCCAGCGGGGACCATTTCACACATGTGGCAGCACGGTTGATGCGTAGAATGACCAGGGTGGGCTTCCACACACTATCTTTGAGAGTCCACACATAGGCATTGCGATCAGATGCACATGTCACAATACGGTTGGACTCTGGGGCCCAGTCAATTCCTGCGGACAGTATGAGAAACAACAAAATAAGTAACTTTTTTTAAAATTTTTATGAAATTGTTTTTGTGGAAGCAGCTTGTTGTCATGCATGTGTTACTTGTTCCTCTGATTCAACACACCTGATTCAGTGATTAAAGTCCCGTCTTAAAGAGGAACTTGCCCCAAAATTAACTTTTTTTAGCTGATAAACTGTTTAGAATGTGTCTAAAATGTTATCTAGTACTGTTTCTGTGCTAATTTTGATGTTTTTGTGTGTATTTGTTCAAATCTGTAATATCTGGTCTAAAAACACCTTTTTGCTGCTCATATGGGTTGAGCAGTGGTACTTCAGACTAATTTGCATATTGGTTAACGGCTCTCCACTAGTGACATTTTATAATTTAATTTATATTTTATTTCTTTACTAACTAATAGAGCCACTCCACCCCCTCTTCTATTGCTTCTTATTCATGCTGTGAATGCTACTTGTATGTTCTTTATTTAACCATGTTTCTGAAAGTGCTATTATATTAAATTTTCTGGTTAATTGTTTCAAATAACTGGTTATATTGGTTAAATTTGCATTTACACTCCTACTTTTAAAATGTATGATGGCGAGCCCCCCTTTTGTTATATTATTAAATTGTTCTGCATATTTGCTCTCTTTGATTGTGGGAAAAACTTTGAATCAATCATATCCTCTACATCATATACTTTAGAGTCTTCATTTTCCATATTGTATTATATTTGTCCATTTGTTCTTATATTTTGCTAATTCCTTATGTACCAGTTGTTTCAGTCATCTACTATTATTCCTTCCTAAGTTCATCTAAATCCATCTAAATCTTTCATTTCTTTAATCATTTTTGCCYGTGACCYTTCTTTTGCTCTGATCCAGATGTTTCCATTCTGTGTCCAAGTTGCTACAATTTTTTCTGCTTTTTCAACAACCTTACCTCATGTGCAATATTTCCTTTTTTTGGTTAAGTGTTCATTTACGTAGACATTTGTTCCTTTCAGTTTCTTTGCTTGCATTATTAGATTATTTCTTGATTTCCTGCTTATGAATCTGATAACTATTGGTGGTTTGAATTTGTCTGATTTGGTGGGCAAGGTGTGGCAGATGGAAATGTCCTCAGATGAAATGTCAATGTTTTTATTTTGTAGGAAAGTCACTACCTGTTGCTCAGTGAGTAGTTCTTCTTGTGCAGAGTCCTCCATGGTGTTTATGTTTGCTGCAACTCGAGCATAGGTCCAGTGTTTGATGTCAAGTCCAGTGATTAACAAATCGTCCCGTCTGGTATATTGTTCCACTTCATCCACTTTTTGTTCTAGTTCAATTATCTCTCTGTCTTGGTCACTTACTGCAACTTTCAATCGCTTCACCTCTTCAAATAGCCCCATCAAAAGTTCTGTGAAGCCACTCTCATCAGTTCTCCACTCATAAATCCAATGATTTTTAAATTCCTCCATGTTGTCTTCAGAGTTGTTCACTGCCGAAGCTTACCCTCTTCCCAGACCGCATCTCGTCATGACTCCCCAGGCCTGTCCCGACAACAAACAGGTCCCCATACCAACGTACCCGACGTTCGTAGCTCCGCAGGACTACACAGGCCTGGTRGCTGTAGCTTCTGGTTGTAGCCAAATGCGTTGGAGAACTGCCAGCTTGTGGGCCAAGCCGAAAGCAACTGCAGTGATAGTCGATGGTAATGGCAGTGGTTAGCCGTTAGCCTGCGGGTTGAGTCGATGGTGATGCCAGTGGTTTGGCTGTTAGCCTTGATGGAAAATGACATCCAATAGTTGACAAAACCTACGGCATGCACGTTGGTCCACCAACTTTCGGTCCGGTGCTAGTTTAAGTTAGCATAAAGCGCCTTATTACATCTCGTTTGGATTATTGTAATGCTTTGTCTGTTAGTTAGATAAATCTTCTCTGCACTCATTACAAGTTGTCCAGAATGCAGCAGCTTGTCTTTTACGAGGTACTAAAAACACAAAAACATATCCCCGGATCTGGCTTCTCTCCTTTGTCTTCCTGTTTTCTTTAGGATAGATTTAGATTTTATTGCTTACTTTTAAAGCTTTAAAAGGTCTGGACCCATCATTAACATCCACTGTTCATTTGGAGCACTTTGGTCATCCTACCAGTTTCACTTAGATGTTCCTAGATCTAGGCTAAAATTTAGTGGTGATMAGGCTTTTGCAGTTTCTGCCCTAAACCTTTGGAATGGCCTACTTTTTTGCATTTGGACTGTTGAGACTTTTAAATCTATGCTAAAAACTGTTTTTACTCCTTGGCCTTTCATTCATTAAATGTAATATTTCTCTATTCTAAATTTATCTTTCTTTCTTTTTTAAACATTTTTGTGTTGTTTGGTTGTTTTTTAATTTATTTGACTAAATTGTGAAGCACTTTGAGCAACTTATGTTGTTTTTTGCGCTATATACATAAATTGACATAGACATACCAACTTATGAAATTTTTTAAGATATCTAGATTTAAGATGGAATAAAAAAAATCCACTGGAAGCCTCTATTAGGCATGTGCATACTGTAATGCTAACAAATTGATCCAATATATATCTTTTATTATGAATTTAGACATAAAAATATTGTCAAATTGGCATAAGTTGTGTAAAATGTCATATTGTTACAGTGCCTTTAGTTTAGACGTTTCTATACTTTTCTAGCTCTCCGCGAACGTTTTCCTCATTGATCTTTTATTACTACATTTCTCACCTGTCTACAGTTTGTAATCAGACTACCTGCCCTKTATGTAGCAGCAGCATTATTGCCTTTGCAGTACTGATACCCCTTGGTCTTCTCAGTTCAAAGTTAGATCCTCTAAATCTTCTTTGACCTAATTTTTGGTGCAGTTGTCTTTTTTTTTTTTTTTGTTCAATTTGTCTTAAACCTTTTGAATCATACAAATTCTACTGTCTCCATCCATTAAAATTTATTACATCAACAATCTGAGGTAGTTTTACTGTAGTCTTTCATCCAGTACCTGTGATGCGTCCACTGTGCTCTGTGAGCTCATGAATCTTCACCCAGTCCTTGGCTTTCTTCTCATAGATGTTGACTACATTGTTATTAGGGCTCACAGCAATCTCTGTAGGGAAAAAATGTCTTAACTTCACAACAACTGTAAAACAACACAAAATGACAGGATAATTTTAGTTGTACAGAAATGACCCTGACATACGAACAAAACTAGCTCATTTTCCAAGCACCATAAGGAGAAATGAAAAGTAGAAAATTGCGGTTACTCACTATATGGTAACTTAGTATTAATTTTGTGTTTTGTACTTTTAAAGTCATTTTATTATCAACAATTTTATTTTTATTGGAGTAAAATAAATTGTGCTTTGTTATAATGACGTTACGCTTAACACCTCCTGCTCGACAATGTTTCGAGCAAATGAAGCAGAAGTGTCGAGAGATGGTGTTTCGAGCGCTGCTTCAGCACACTCAGGATYAYATGACTACTCTAAACGAGGCCTCGTTACGTCACACCRGTGYTGAASTGTTTCAACTCAAGACTTTTGAAAAGGACCTGATTCATCTCAAAGCCGTGTTTTTTTTAAAGGGGGAGATGCTTCAAAACTGGAGAGTTAGCAGCAAAGAAAAGCAACAGATTGAAACACATCTCAGCTGAAATAATCTTCTTTTTTTAAATAAAAATTATCTTTGAACCCCTCCACCCACCCCCTACCGCGCAAGAATTTCAATGTTACTCCTTTTAAAATACTTTTTAGTGATTTATTAGCCTATTTCTTGGCTAAAGAGTATTTCTGTAATGATCCCGTTAAATAATTAACTTCTGTTTTAGGTATCAATATGTGGAAGAAAGTTGTGTGAAGTATTTGTAAAAATGAAATAACAGACATTTTATAATTGCTGTGTGATCATGTTGGAGTAGTGGATGAGATACATGGTTCCCACACGAGAGAAGTGAGTTTGTCACTTTRAACTGTAGCAAAATGCTTTAATAAAAGCAATTCAGAATTACTAAACTTTTATTTATAGGCCATATTAAGTTACGCAAAGCAATAATTATCAACAATAAGCTCCAGGTTTATTTAAATAAGATCAGAGCTGCTTCACAGAGCAGCACCTGTCGTCATTTGTGACAGCACAGCCGCATTTTACTGTAATATTTTATTATTGTTCTTAAAGAAAACAGTCAAGACGCGTGTGGAAGCTTTATTATACAGAACAGAGGCTGACTGGTTCACGACACGGCTTGTCCTTTGTTTCATGCAGCTGTAATGTTAAGGGTTGGCCAGCAGATAGAGCAACACTTAAATGGTTCAAATGATTCGAAACGAGTCATTTCAGCACAATTGATTCATATTAAGTCATTCAGAAAGCCTCGGTTTAAAAATCACTACTTTGTTACATTTGAAATATTCATTATTTTGAGAAACTATGAATGTAAAATCTATTCAGGAGGAGGAAAAAATAACAATATCTAAGCAGTCAGCCTATTAYGATCCAGCTAAAAGTAAAGACAAGCTGTGAAGTACTGAAAGCCATCTGTGTCATGGTCTGTCTTTCTGTGTACTTTTTTATTGGTTTTCTCTGAATTTCAGTGTTTTTCCATCCTGTCCTCCTGTCTGCCAAACCTTGAGCCCCACCCTTGCTCACCTGTTCCTCATGTGTCTRCCCCAGGTGTTCCTTGTTTACGCTCATTATCTCTATATTCTTTTGTGTCCTCAGTGTTTGTCTGTTCATTGAGCTGCCTACAACAGCCTTGTGCTCTCCGTGTTCCTAGTGATGGTTTGCAAGTCTTGCCGCCATACCAGCACTTTTCTTTATTTAATAAATACTTTATGTTATCTCTGAGTCAGCCTGCTCCCTGGRCCCATCTCCTAGTAATAGTGATGGATAAATCAAGGCATTCAGAATCAYTTAATCATAGCATTTTGTTACAGTTTAAAAGGGAAAAAAAACCCACCCAGGATTTGAACTAACTTCTCCCACATGGGAGACACATATCTCATCCACCACTCCAACATGATCACACAGTGGCTCTAAAATGGCTTATTTCATGTTTACAAATATTCCACACAATTTTCTTCCACATMTTGATATCTAAAACTATTAAACGTAGGTTAATTATTCAACGGGATCATTACTGAAATATTCTTAAGCAAGAAATACTAAGTCAGTAAAAGGTATTTTAAAAGAGTTAGTAAAATGGAAATGCTTGTGCAGTGTTGGGGGGGTTTCAAAGAATTTTTATTTGAAAATAAGATTATTTCAGCTGAGATGAGTTTCAGTCTGTTGCACTTCTTTGCTGCCAACTTTCAAGTTTTGAAGAACCTTTTGCGTATCTCCCCTTAAAAAAAATAACACGGCTTTCATGTGAATCAGGTCCTTTTCGAAAGACTTGATTTGAAACAGTTCAACACCGGTGTGACAAAATGAGGCCTTGTTTGGAGGCGTCATGTGATCCTGTGTGCTGAAGCAATGCTCGAAACACCATCTCGCAACACTTCTGCTTCATTTGCTTGAAACAGTGTCGAGCAGGAGGTGTCAAGCGTAACATCGCTACCTACTAAACCTCACAATTTGAGCCTTTTAAACATGATTTTGACATATAAAAAATAAATAAATAAAACACAAAAATGATGCATAAACAACATGTACTGTACTGTATGTGTTCTTTCATGTTTGTGTGAAAAGTCGCATGTTAATGGCTCCACCGGCCTTTTAAAGTAAAAGGAGTTTCCCTGTTAATTGAAGACGAGTGTGTGTAAAAACTGCCCTATCAAGTCYATTTTTAATAAAGCACATTTAAAACAACAACAAATTGCTGAGCAATAAAAAGTCAAAGATTAAAGGAAAAAAACTATAAAACATTAATATAAACCATCAGTAGAAAATACAAATATAACACTGAAAACTATTATCCTAAAACAACTCACACAGAGTTAAAAGCCAATGTAAAACTGATGGTATTAAAAGAGATTTAAAAACAGGAAGTGAGGAAGGCTTTCTAATGTTGCGGGGCAGATTGCTCCAAAACTTAGAAGCATGATCATAAAACTCCTGAGCTTCAACCTGTTTTTTTTTTTTTGGGGGGGGGGACAACCAAAAGCAGTTGATAAGATTATCTCAGTTCCTGAGAAAGAATATAAAGTTGAAATAAGTTGGAGAGATATGAGGGTGCCTAGCCATTTAGGCATTTATAGATCACAGTGTTGCCAAATGTATAATTATTGCTGTACAGTAATTTTGCCCTTTGTATGATGTACAATCAATAATTCCAAAAATCCCATAATGTACAATAATTTGACCACTTCAATACATGGCTGAATTACCCCAATATGCAACTGTAATTTTTTTTAAGTTTTTTGCATCGTTCTGTTGTCCCAGTGTAGTTGGAACCATGTGTAAAACATAAATATAAACAATATACCATGATTTACAAATCCTTTTCAACCTATACTCATTTGAATGCACTACAAAGAAAATATATTTATTACTAATACAGTATTCTCTCATTTTGAATTTGATGCCTGCACCACGTTCCAAAAAAGCTGGGACAGTGGCACATTTACCACTGTTACATCAGCTTTCCTTTTAACAACACTCAATGAATGTTTTGATGATATYATGAATTGTAATTGATTAAATCCCTAAATTCCTTGCAATTGTGTGTTGAGAAACATTTTGAAACCGTTGGACTGTTTGCTCATGCCGTTGTTCACAAAGTGGTGAACCTGACCCCATCCTTGCTTAGGAATGACTGAGCCTTTTGAGGAAACTCCCTTTATACCCAGTTATGACACTCACCTGTTTCCAGTTTACCTGTCCATCTGTGGAATGCTCCAAGCAAGTGTTTTTTGAGCATTCCTTAGCGTTCCCAGTATTATTTTGCTCCTATCAAAGCTTTTTTGGAATATGTTGCAGGCATCAAATTTAAAATGAGTGAAAATTTGCAAAAACAAACAATACAATTTATCCATTTGAACAGTAAATATCTTGTCTTTGTAGTATATTCAACTGAATACAAGTTAAAAAGGATTTACAACTCATTGTATTCAGTTTTTATTTAAAGGAACCCATGATTAGTTGTAACATTAGACTTTATTTAATAAACATATTTTAACTGTAAAATAAAGACTGTAAAAATACTTTAGGC